TCTAATAAAAAAAGCATTCTGAAAATAAAGTTTGGTAAACTATAATTTTTTTTATCCCGTTTCGCTGCATTTTTTCAAAAAAAAAATGTAAAGTTTGGATTTACTTGTTTTACTAATTTTGAATCTAATAAAAAAAAGCATTCTGAAAATAAAGTTTGGTAAACTATAATTTTTTTTATCCCGTTTCGCTGCATTTTTTCAAAAAATGCAGTAAAAAAAATATTTTAGTTTTAACATTTGTGTCGTTTGATGGAAAAGTATTTTTTTATTGTCTGAATAGAAAAAATATAGCGAAACCATACATAATGCACTATTTCTAATTATAATAACCGACGTGTTTAAAACACGTGAATTCAACACCTGTGTGAATTTCGCTAAAACGTTAATCCAAAAATCTGATAAATTTCCGCCGAAAACTACAAAACAAACACTTAAAAATTATGCATATTTTAAGTTTTCTAATTCCACATTGTTGGCGGATATCCGCTAAACAAAATTTTGACAACAGTTGGAAAAACAAGAAAAGTATCATAAGAAATCTTTGGTCCTAATCTATAAGAGAAAACTCAATCGTAAAACTTATACAAGGTGTTAAAAAAAGATTGTATAATATTTCAGGAGATAATAGTATAGACCAAAATTAAGATATCGAAGATTATTCGTTTTTGACACATTTATTTGCAATCTGTTCAAACAGAAAAGAGAAGCGTCTAGTAGAAATTCTAAAAATTTTACATCCAATATTTTCAAAACCGTTACTTTGCGGACTACTTTTTTGTTTATTTTGGTTCATTCTATTACCTCCTTAAATATTTTACAATCTTCTTTTAACACTCTGTATAGATAAAATCAGGGCCGTACCCAAGGGGGGGATTAAGGGGTTCAAACCCCCTCCCCACTAATTTAAAATTTTTGTGAATTAATTTTTCATGTGTTAATTATACAGTGTTTCATTTTTATTGTTAGGTACAAATTTAAATAGTTGATAGAATATTTAATTTTAAGACAAAAGTGTTTCGAAAAATGCTATAAAAAGGTACGTTTTTTAAAGGGTTTTTCCTAATATTTCAGAATAGATAAAATTGCAAAATTTGGTACCTTTATATGTACACCTAAATAAATGTCAAATAACAAAATTTTTAATCAGAGGCGTCCTAAATGGTAAAACAAATTTAATTTTTAATTTTTATGCTGTTTATGGTCTGTAACATAAATTTTTAAATCGATTTTTACTAAAAATCTGTAAATTGTATCGGAAAAACACAAAAGACTTTTTTTTATGAAAAACTATGAAATTTTGTTGCTGAAAGTGGCAAGAAACAGGCAATATAATTAGAGTAAATTTTTACCCTAATCCCATCTACTTTAGGAAGCCCCTAATTAAAAATTTCAAAATTTCATCTGCCAAACTTTGAATTTTTTTCTAAAATGATTTCGGAAATATGGAAAAGAAACCTTATAAAAAACGCACCCCTTGCGTAGCATTTTTCGATATATGTTCATAGAAAATGTTTGTTGTAAAAATGAATATTCTATCTCCTGTTTAAATTTGTAACAATAAAAAGTATTAAAAAATTATTTTATTTTTTGTTACTTTTGTGAGTTAATTTGTATTTTTATGTTTAATTAGGATCTCTTATTTCTATTTAAAATAAAAACGTGTACTTAGAGATTTTTGCTTTTTAATCCGCCTTCTTTCATGGACCAACAAAAAACCCCCCCCTGAAATAAAATCCTGGTTACATCCCTGGGTAAAATACAATCAGATTTGTTCTTTCAGGAAAAATTGGCCAAATAAACATAGGATAAGTTTGGGCGAAATGGACCACATTTTGCAAAACCTGGAAAGTGTCCCATTGGTCTCTCTCCCGGAATTACCCTAAATTAGTCGAGTTAGCAACAAGCATTTTATTCAGTCCACCTTTGAGATGTTTTTTTTTCACTCAGTGAGTTTGAGGGCCTATCACCCCCTGTCTGGTCGACCGCCGAGTCCTCTTAAAACAAATCACACCAGCAGCAGCAGCCTTCACTGAGCCCTTCGAGTGGGTTTGCTGTCAATCAATGGCTATGGTGGCCATATTACAGGGAGTAGAGCAAAGCAGCATGTCGCTAATAATTCAGGAGCGGATCGAGGCAAGACGACGGGAGGGAAGGACGATTGCATTGTTCGGTTTTCTCATCCCCAACCCGGCCACTAGTTTAATTGGAACCGCGGATCAGCCGGCTAAAAAGAGGATGTCATTTCAGCAGCCGCAAAATGAGACGATTCCATCGGGACCCTTCTCAATCTCGTCGAGCTCGACCCAAAGCTTAATTGATTATTCTGGGAAAAGTTCGGACGGGAGGACGCAACCGACTAAATATTGAAAGAAAAAAACGCACGCTGACACAGAGATGCTAATTTCAGGAATTCCATAGCGAGAGATCATAACTATTAATTAAAAAAGAATCCGAACATGAACATGTACACATTATGTATACATACAAGGTGAATAAAGTATGGAACCAAGCGTTTTTTTTAAATCATTTGCCTCCAAAAAAATAATTAATGTCAATTAAAGTAGTACAAAACATGTGATCGTATTTTGGGAACGAAATTTTGTTTTGTTCTTGAGGTTTTTTTGTCAAAATTGCAATTTATATAAATTTTTTTTGAAAAAATTGAATATAAAGTATATAAGTACACTCAGTATACAGGGTGTTTCGTCTAAATTCCACTTTAGAAGTATTGGGAGTTGCAATAATCGTATTTATTTGAAAATTGGTACATAGCCATAAACCATTAAGTCCTCTTAAATGAAAATATTTTCAAGATGGCGGCACTTCCGCTTATACCGGACATCGGTCTCAACTTTCTTATTTTAAATGGAAAGGTATATTTTTTACTGCGTTTTTGGATTAATCGGGTTATTTTAAGGGAATTTTCATCAGCTTTCYCTATAACTAAATTTAGCCGTTTTTGAAATATTTGGAGTTTTTCAAAAAATTTTGGATTTACACCTTCCACTTTAAAAACCGGTAACTCTGCTATTTTTTAAAATTTTGAATTCGTTTTTTTGGCGTTTGAAAGAGAAAGCTTAGATCTTTCTTTCGGTGTTTTCAAATTTTGAAAAAAAAATTAACAAACTATAAAATTTTAAGGTTACTTTGTAATAATTCAAATACCCATAACTCAATTTTTTCAAATGAAATACCCCAATTTTTATTTTACTAAATGGAGGAGAATTTAATTCTGCATCGATCTGTATTAACATTCCCTACACCTAAATTTAATAATTTTTAAGTTATGGTGACTTTTTGTTGAGACTGCCGAAAATCTGTTATTAGCCACATTCGTTTTCGTATAGTTTGCTATGGAAATAAAAAATGTCACAATTGTTTCTCAATAAATGTCGACAGTGACTTATTATTTGACAAATAGTGCCAAAATATGGAGAGTCAAAGCTACTCAAACTTAGATTTAATTAATTTATTTTGTATTTATGGAGAGTGTAACAAAATTATGATATCGTTCATTAAACAAAAATAAGTTTTTCTCACTTGTTAGCTTTAAATAATGATTGCATGGTAGAACCTATCAATAATAATGAAGTTTGCATAACTTTGATTCTCCATATTTTGGCACTATTTGGCAAATAATAAGTCACTGTCGACGTTTACTGAGAAACAATTTTGACATTTTTGATTTCCATAGCAAACTATGTGAGAACGGGTATGGCTAGTAATAAATTTTCTGTAGTATTAAAAAAAAGTCCATAACTTGAAAATTATTAAATTTAGGTATAGGGAATGTTAATACAGATCAATGCACAATTAAATTCTCTTCTATTTAGTAAAATAAAAATTGGGGTATTTCATTTGAAAAAATTGAGTTATGAGTATTTGAGTTATTACAAAAGTAACCTTAAAATTTTGGGAAATGTTATTTTTTTTTCAAAATTTGAAAACATCAAAAAAAGGATCTAAGCTTTCTCTTTCAAACGCCAAAATGAATTTATGATTTGTAGAGCTAATAAGGCACTTGGCTGCATAAAACGTTATTGTCGTGATTTTAGAAATTTTAATTCCATCAAAATGCTATTTGTTTCACACGTACCTTCAATCCTCGAATATGGCTCGATAATCTGGAATCCACATTACAAAATTCATGTTGGTAGGCTTGAAGCAATACAGTTTAAGTTTTTTAAATATATAAAATGGTTGCTGCCTTATTATGTGCAAGATAATTGCAATATTTCCTTAAATTATATGTCTCTTTCCACACTTGAAATTAGAAGAAGATATCAGGCTTTATGTTTTGTTTATAAACTTTTAAATAATTTGATTAATGATACTTCAATACTAAATTTAATTAATTTTCGCGTTCCACAGTATAATAGTAGATCAAACCAATTATTCAAAATTTCGTTTGCACACAATAATTATCTGTTTAATTCTCCTCTAAATGATCTTTTAAGAATTTGTAACATGTACAGTGTCAAGTTGGACTTTTTAATTTTAAATCCTAATAGTTTCAAGCGTTTTCTAAAAGTTTCGTTGAGTTAGTCATTTAGTTATATGTGATTTGTTTTCTATTATAATTTTATCATTACTTAATGTAAAGGATATTACCGTTAATTAAAGTTATTATTATAGATAGTTGTAATCCTTAGATCATAACAGGTGCTGCTTTAAAAACCTTAGGCTTCATATGTAGAAATACAAAAGAATTTACTAGTGTATGCTGTATTAAAATGTTATTTTATGCTCTTGTAAGATCCAGGCTTGAATACTATTGTGTTATTTGGGGGTCCTCATTTTGAAATTCATATCAACATGTTTTAAGGAAATTCGCTAAATATCTATATTTTAAAATGTTTGGAAGGTACCCTGTTCAGAGAGATCTTCTCAATAATGTGAATGAAGATACTTTATTATGAGTGTTGTGTTTCTTTATTATGTGTAGTGTTTCTTCAAAAACTTTTGTGTGGTGAGCTTGACAGCTCTTACCTCATGGACCATGTTAAAATCATTGTACCTCGAATGAACCACAGAAGTCCTTCTACATTTTATTATTCTTCTCTTCTTATGAAAATACTTTTCATCATCTTAATTTACCTCTTTTTAAATGTTTTAGATTGTATAACAGTATTAAAGGCTTGCATCTGGACATCTTCTTTTATAAATTTTGCTCTAAACCAGTTAAGGTCAAACTTCTTGTCTATTTTTCGTTATGTTTGTAGTTAATTTTTAATTTTTCTTTGCTTTATGTATTATTGTTATTATTTTTTATATACTTTAATCTACTTCGCCCAATTCTATTGTCCTCTATAGACTTATAGTCTGTTGGAAATAAATGATATTATTATAACCTTCATGAATAGAAGGTTGCCATTTAAAAAAAAAACAAAATTTTTTGTAGAACTCAAAAACGAAAGAAAATTTCGAAAAATTTTATTTTTGATAAAACTTCACATTTTTGTAGTACTTTATCATTTATCAATTAATTTTTCCAAAAAATAAATAGTTTGAACAAAAAACGTTTGGTTCCATACTTCTGATTCACCTCATATTTAGTTATCTATTGCAATTCTTGCAGAGAAATAAAGAGAAATTATCATATAAATTTCACTTTATTGTTAATTTAGGAAACATTAAAATTCGCTACTAGAACCATGAGATTATTATTATTTATAAAAATTATTCAGTATTTTTTTGGTGCGTAACTCTTGCTATAGTTAGATAAAGAAAAAATAATTATGTATATCAAATTTACTTGAGAAATAAAGTTTATTGATGCAAACTGAGCTAAGTCTCTCACTACAATACAAAATAACGTAAATTTTGATGAAATTTGGTGATATTTTGGCTTACTTTGACGAAATTTCTCGAAATTTTAATCTAGATTGCTTAAAACGGATATAATTAACGCCAATCTCAATGCTATATAAAATTGAGGAAAATTAATTGTTTTTTCAGACAAAAACAATCTAAAATGTCTTAAAACAAGCTAAAATAACGTCAATTTCGTTAGAGTTTGGTAATTTTTGGTCTAATTTTTCTTGCTTAAAACAAGCTATAGAAACAAAATAACGGCAATTTATTTCTTAATCATTTTTTTGACTTGTTTTGGCAAAATAATTAAGTTTTCGGTCAAAAAGGAGTTAAATCACTCAAAACAAGACAAAAAACGTCAACTTATGTTATCAAAATTTTAGAAAATAAGTAAATTTTTTGCTCAAAAATGAACTAAAATTCTAAAAAATGAGTGGGTTTCTCGCACAAAAACAAACTAAATTCCTTGAGACAAGCCAAAATAAAGTCAATTTTAATGTAAAAAAAAATGCAAATAAAATGTGTTTCTTCCTCTACAACGAATACCTTGATTGAAAATGACAAGTAACATGTCTCCACATTATTCAATGTTGCCAACTTAAACTTAATGTTACAAGCCACTTTGGTCATAAATTGAATTAATTAAAATTGGAAGGCTGAAAATAGTGAAAGTTTATCTACTTTTTTTCTTCAGCAAGAATCTCATTAACTAATTTTTACTCATGTTATAAACATTTAAATAAAAATTATTGAACATTACATTTGAAAATTTCTTAGTTTAGATTATCCTTTATTTGGAACTTGAATATCAGAGAAAAAATTCAAGCTTGATAACAGTTTCCTGAACCTCGTCGTGTTAATCAAAATTGGGCAAGCCCTTAGTACATAAATAAATTAATAAATAATAATAAAAATTGATGGAATTTGCTGATATTTTGACGAAATTTATCAAAATTCGAAGCTAAATTGCTCAAAACGGACTTACGTTACGCCAATCTGAATGCGATATGAGATTGAGCAAAATTCATTATTTTCTCAGACAAAAACAATTTAAAATGTCTCAAAACAGGCTAAAATACTGTCAATTTCGATAGAATTTGGTGTAATTTTGACGAAACTTTTCCTGGTTGAAACAAGCTATACAAATAAAATTTATTTATTTATTGTTATTTATTTATTAATAATTTTTTGACTTGTTTTGGCAAGATTTGGCAAAATAATTAAGTTTTTGATTAAAAAAGAATTCAGTCACTCAAAACAAGACAAAAAACGTCAATTTTGATGTAATTTCATAGTTTTTATACTTATTTTGACAAAATTTTAGAAAATAAGTAAGTATCTCGCTTAAAAATGACCTAAAATTATAAGTTCCTCACTTAAAAACAAGTTAAATTTCTCGAGACAAGCCAAAATAATGTCAATTTTAATGTAATTTAGTCATTTTTAGTGTAATTTGCAAAAAAATGCAAATAAAATGAGTTTTTTCGTCTAAAACAAATACCTTGACTGAAAATGAAAAAACACAAGTTATATGTCGCCACATTATTTATTAATGTTGACAACTTAAATTAATGTTACAGGCCACTTTGATCAGAAATTTAAATATTTAATAATGTTTCTATAGTAGAAAGGATGAAAGTAGTGAAAATTTGCTCAGTTTTTTCCTACTGAAAGAATTAAATTAACTATTTTTTACTCATGTTTCAAACATTTAAATAAAGAATATTGAAGATTGCATTTGAAAATTTCTTAAATCAGATTATCATTTATTTGCTGCTTGAATATCAGAGAGAAAATCAGAGAGAAAAAAATTATAAAATGTCATATGTTTCAGGCTTCATAACAGTTTCCTCAACCTCGTCGTGTCACAATCATTGTATTCAAAATTGGGCAAGCCCTTAATTAGATTATATTTTATCAGATAAGAACACCTGACTAGTATTTTACGTCACACAAAAAACAAATATCCCGGAATAGAACAGTCTCGTAGCATCATCAGTACCGTACAAACCGCAAACATTTCATTATTTTCATTTGATCGCGATGACCAATCTCTTTTTGCCAATTCTAATCGTTGCTTTAAGTTGCGGTTTCGTGATTTGCACCAACGTTCTTCCATGTAAGTTACACTCACTCAACGATTTACCAATTATGAAGAATTTTTCAGGTACCAATGTCGATGCTCCCGTACCTGAAGTCCAAGTCCAAAACTGCGACGACATGCCTTGTGTGTTTTACATCAATAGCAAGACTTCCATGACGATGAAATTCCGAGCTCGTAGGTTCATCAAATTATTCGAGAAAAAATATACAGGGTGTTTCGTTTTTATTATTACAAACTTAAACAGGTGATAGAATATTCAATTTTAAGACAAAAGTTTTCTATCAACATGTATGAAAAATGTTACGTAAGCGAGCTATATCTCCTGAAAAAGATGCGGTTTTCCCACTATTGCAGAATAGATAAAATTACAAAAGTTGGTACCGCTGATTACTTTTAAACACCTGAACGAATTCAAAGATCAGATCAGATCAAAACAAATTTAATTTTTAATTTTTATCCTCTTTATGTAAGACAAATTGTAAACTGATTTTACTCAAAAACGATAAGTAGTATCGAAAAAACGCAAGAGACCTCTTTTTTGTGAAAAATTACGAATTTTGTGGCTGAAAGTGGCAAGAACCAACCGCTAAAATAGTTAGGGTACTTTTTATCCTAAACCCCCCCAGTTTAGGCGCCCCTGAGTAAAAATTTCGACATTTTATCTTTGAATTCATTTGGATGTATAAAGGTTATTAGTTGTACCAAATTTTGTAATTTTATCCACGATGGTTTCTGAAATATTGGAAAAAATCCATTAAAAGATACACCCCTTTCAGGGGGTTTAGCTTCCTTATATAAAATTTAAATTTGTAACAATAAAAATGGAACACCCTGTATCGAGTGTTTTCTTAACATTGCGAAAAATTGCAACCACAACACAAAAATAACAATAGCCCTATAAAGAAGCTTCGTTACTGATATACAGGGTGATAAAGTTTGAATATTTTTTTGTTATTATTGTTATTTTTCGTTGTAAAATATGAGTTGCAATTTTTGCAATATTAAAAAACATATTACATTATTTTAAATTTTTATAGCTCGTTACTTGGAGCATTTTGCCCCAAATGCGCTCGCATCAGTTATGGGAGTTAATGTCACGTACCCATTGGGACAGGACGATGGGTGTGTTGGAGTCACCAATACGCCGTGTCCTTTGGCGGAAAATGAGTACATTGAGTATACTTATGGGATGCTCATTCTTCCAATTTTTCCAGAAGTTTCACTTACAATGGAATTCTCATTAATTGACAAAGATTTAAATAATACGGCGTTTGAGTGTTTTAAAGTTGATTTGCAAATTAAAAAGGCTTAATACATATTATTTTTTGCAAATTGTAGTTTTATTTGATTATTATAAAAAAATAGGGTACGTCGGGGAGTGGTGGACCACATTTTGAATTCTATTTCAATTCAAATTACAAATGTTTTTTCTTATACTTAAGAAATAAATAAAGTAAAAGAAAATACTCTGTTTTTAAATACACAAAAAATAATATACCAGGTGAATAAAAAATATGGAAATAGTAGAGTATAAAAAGTTACTTCTGGACCAGGACATTTGGCGTCTTAAAAAACAAGGCAGAATCTTACAAATTTAGCTGTTTTTTCAAAACTCCACAACCAAAAAAGGGCCTAAAACCTCTCAAAAAGCATTAATTTTCATACACCCCAAAAACAGCTCTTCATTTCTGGACCAAGCCAATTGGCGCATGCGAAAATCAATTAAAATTACCTCAAAACTGCTCTAAAACCATTGTCAAATCTCTAGTTTTCACACACCACAAAACAGCTTTTCTTTTAATAAATTCAAATACGTTCAATTCTTTTGAATTATCATATTTTATGCTTTTTGAGAGGTTTTAGGCCCTTTTTTGGCTGTGGAGTTTTGGAAAAACAGCTAAATTTGTAAGATTCTGCCTTGCTTTTTAAGACGCCAAATGTCCTGGTCCAGAAGTAACTTTTTATACTCTACTTTTTTTGCTTTAACTATTTATTTTTGGAAAAACCAATTGATGAATGATAAAGTACTATAAAAATGTGATGTTTTATCAAGAATACAATATTTCGAAATTTTCTTTTGTTTTTGAGTTCTACAAAAATGTTAATTTTTTAAAATGTCAAACCATTATAAAACCAATTTTCTCATGAAGGTTATGACCTAAGGATTACAACTATCTGCTTTATATTTAATTTTTTTTAATTTTTATACATAAATTGCAATTTTGACAAAAAAATCGCATAACTCAAAAAACAAAACAAAATTTCGTTCTCAAAATGCGAGCACATTTTTTACATTACTTTAATTTATATTAATTGTTATTTTCTGGAGGCAAATGGTTTAAAAAAACCGCTTGGTTCCTCATCCTTATATTTTGATTTGTAAAGATCCTTCTCACTCGGATTTACCCTACATTGAGAAAACAAGCATCTAGTTAGGTGCATTATTTCTTATGACTTGCACAAGAGGATGCAGATGTTCAAATTATATCATTTGTCATGATTCCGAAAATGATCTTGCGAAATAATTATTACCTAATATTCTAAAAAAAAACATTATAACCGTGTTAAGTGAACACCTGCTAAAGCTACTAGATAAGTGTAAGTGTTATTTACCTCGGATTATCTATAATCGAGATACAAAAATAATTTTTCAGTTCAACAAAATATTAAAAGATATGCTCCAATATATTCCAAATATGCATCGATATGTAAAATTTTTAACAATAAAAAATCAAAGTTGGGATAAATTTTTATCCTCGAATACACTAAACTTTGTATTTTCGTCATCTTTAACTGCACACGATAAATGAAAGAATAAATAAATTGGTTTGGCATGAGACAAGCCATTTTAATAACCTAGATTTCTAAGAAATCTGTACTTTTCAAATCACATCACGTGTTTTGCTTAGAGTATTTATTTTTTGAAAAAACTAATTGATGAATTATAAAGTTCTATAGAAATATGATGTTTTATCAAAAATAAAATTTTTCAAAATTTTTATTATTTTGTTTTTGAGTTCTACAAAAAAAATTACTTTTTTTAATGGCAACCCACCAAAAAAACCATTTTTCTCATGAAGGTCATGATCTAAGGGACTACAACTATCTACTTTATATAAATATTTTTTTTACATACCAGGTGAATAAAAAGTATGGAACCAAACATTTTTTGCTTAAACTATTTATTTTTTGAAAAAACTAATTGATGAGTGATAAAGTACTTTAAAAATGTGATAATTTAGCAAGAATAAAAATTTTCGAAATTTCCCTTTGTTTTTGAGTTCTACAAAAAAAAAAAATTAAATGGCAACCCACTATAAAATCATTTTTCTCATAAAAGCTATACTCTAAGGATTACAACTATCCGCTTTATATTTAATTTTTTCAAAAAAATTTTTACACATAAATTGCAAATTTTGACAAGAAAATGGCATAACTCAAAAACAAAACAAAATTTCGTTCTGAAAATACGGCCACATTTTTTATATTACTTTACTTTATATTAATTATTATTTGCTGGAGGCAAATGATTAAAAATAAAACCGCTTGGTTCCATACTTTATATTCACCCTGTATGTATATCACAACAAAAATCGAATAAATCAAAAACAAAATTTTGTTCTTAAAAAAAACATTTTTTTATATTAGGTACTTTAATTTATATTAATTATTATTTTTTGGAAACAAATGATTTAACAAAAAACCGCTTGGTTTAATACTTTATATTCACCCAGTATAAAACGAATTTAAAAAGGAAACACTCAGCAGGGTACTAATTTTTTGAGTTGGGCTTACGAATTACCGGTTGTTTTCTCTTTAAAATATTTTGTAATCGGATCATTTTTCTTAAACTGTCTAATTTTTAACTTTAACTGAAATTTTTAATCGGAAATTCGTGATTTTAAGAAAACATGCACAAATATGCAATATTTCCTAAAATATGCACCAAGTTGTCAAATTATGCATTTTTTATTTGGCTTATTTTAATCAAAAAACATTAGATTTGCATAGAAAACTTACAATTTTGTTGATATACCTCTTAATAACAAATATGCATTTTTTTGATTATGATAACAACGCAAGCTTAAAAAAGTGAAGTCGACAATTAGCGAAGGGTGTAGTTTTTAGAGGGACCATTTCCCAAATTTACTCTATTTCCAACGTTTTTTTTTTAATTTTGGACAGAGGCCTTCTAATATAAACAATTATTTTTCTAAAATTAGAAAACCGTAAAAACACGGGTAATTGGTGAGGGTTCGAGTAATTTTTGAAGATTATGTCTCATTATCTGATCTGTCAGTGTCGTTCCTTAGAAGGCATTAATAATTATCGGATCCAATTACCTGATAAACACATTCCGATAAATCGGACACCTGTAAGGTGTCCCGACATGTGTTGAGGTTTTGTATTTGCGTTGTTATTTTTTTCGTTGGTCGTGATCTTCGGTGGTGTTGAAGAAGAGTCCTTTGTCGGTCTTCCTGCCGTCATTAGACTATGAGTCAGCATCGAAAGCGGTGTTTGAGCCGTTTCGGACATGTCAAACCATCGAAATGTTTGATGCCAGTTAGATTAATGTTTTTGAGATATTGCTTGTTTCTCTTCGAGACGTGACTAGGCGATTCTGGACGCGGTAGGCTGGGAATTCGAAATGGTGGTTTAAATTAACGCCGCTAGATGATTCACGAAAAAAAAAGTAACTAACACAAGGCGACAAAAATAAAGTCATGTCGTGACAACTTGACAAATTTTGTATCATTTTGTTCGTCTCAGTGAGACAAATCAAATGCACTAAAAAAAATTTCAAAAAGTCCACACACTTTGAACTAATGAATTTTTTTCTAATTTAAATGAATTTAAAATACTTTAACTTTAAAAAATCATTACTCAATAACTATTAGGACGATTTCCTTCAAATAAAGACCGTTCTAAAGGGAAGGTTTTGCCCTTTAGGACGATATGAAGTTTGAAATTTAATATTGGCAAACTTTTCTTCGAACAATGGTCGAAAAAGTTCGAAGTAAATCGAAATAATCTAAGAAAAACCCTACGAGTAATTTTTTTTCATCATTACCATCGTGTAGAGCATCTCTTTATTAGTTGTAATCCAAATTTTTAAAAGAATATACCAACTAGTTTTCAAGATATGATTTTTGAAGTTAAGGTTTGCTAATCAAACATTGCTCCATATAGGAGAAATGCATGTTAATCTTACTTAAAATTGCATTTTTATAAAAGTATTTGTTTTAAGACTCTTTTTTTGCTTAAAAATGGTCAATTGCACCTTCTTTGTTCTAATTAGAATAAACAAAAATTGTTTGTTTACTTAAAACAAATAAAGAGTTTATTTGTTCTAAAAATGATTACTGATCATTAAGCAAAAAGGATCTAGCAGTTTAAAGCAGTAGCTTTAAATATAAGAACAAATCTTTTTCAAATTAAATCACTTTCCATTCAGATTCCAACTTGTTCACTTTGTTCTAGCTTTCTGAACTTTTTTTTGAAAATGTTCTCAGCAAATGCTTTTTCATCACTTTCGAGTGATGTTAAATGCAATAAGTCAGGTGCTTCGTGTGCAACTGTTTTCACAACAACTACTACCTACAAGCTAACTGAAGGTAATCGTAGAATGTATCAACAAAATAAATCAGGTGACTTATTGCATTTAACATCACTCGAAAGTGATGAGAAAGCATTTGCTCAGAACATTTTCAAAAAAAGTTCAGAAAACTAGAACAAAGTGAACAAGTCGAAATCTGAATGGAAAGTGATTTGATTTGAAAAAGATTTGCCCTTATATTTAAGGCTCGTGCCTTAAACTTCTAGATCCACTTTGCTCAATGATCAGTGGTCATTTTTACAACAAAAAAACTCTTTATTTGCTTTAATTAGTACGCAGGTACTCTTTATTTGTTTTAAGTAAACAAACAGTTTCATTCTAATTAGAACAAAGAAGGTGCAATTGACCATTTTTAACCAAAGCAGAGCCTTAACACAAATACTTTTATAAAAATGCAATTTTAAGTAAGATTAACATGCATTTCTCCCATATGCTTGATTAGCAAACCTTAACTTTAAAAAATGATATCTTGAAAACAACTTGGTATATTCTTTTGAAAATTTAGATTACAACTAAAATAAAGAGATGCTCTACATGATGGTAATGATGAAAAAAATATTTTTTTCTTAGATTATTTCGATTTACTTCGAACTTTTTCGAACACTGTTCGAAGAAAAGTTTGGCAATATTCAATTTCAAATGTCATATCATCCTAAAGGGCAAAACCTTCCCTTTAGAATGGTCTTTATTTGAAAAAAATCGGCCTAATAGTTAT